ACGCAGGATGAGCCACATCCCTGGCCGCAGGGAGAGGTCGGCGCAGGGGGGCCACATGTGGTCACGTGCCCTGTGTTCCAGTGAGGCTCCTCTCACCCTAGAGAGCGGAGCGCAGCGGGGCCACGCCCAGCCAGAACTGTTGCCGCGGGGACCTCTGAGGGCACCGTGGGCTCCAGGTGCACCAAAGTTGGTGGACCTGGTCAGCGTACAGCCCCGCAGCTGAACCCTGGTAGCAATCAGGGGACTGTCACTTCTTCAAGAGAGAAAAATCAAGGGCATGATATGAAAAGGGGTGTCCCAAGCGGAGACCCCCAGGCTGGGGAGCACAGGAGGTGGCCTTTTGGCCTCTGTAGCGACAGACCCTGGCACCAGCCTGCGGCTCCCGAGGTCCCCTCCGCAAGCTGGACCAAGGTGGCGCACACACTGAGTGGGGCTTCCGGAGCCCCAAGCTTCCCTCCCGTGCAGCATTTTCCCCTCTCTCTTGTCTAATCACAAGTCCTAGTGGATGAGGTCAGTCACCAATTGTGAGAATAAATGGCCATGCTTTGCTCCCTGCTGTGTGTGTGTGTGTGTGTGTGTGTGTGTGTGTGTGAGAATGCATGTGCCTGTGTACACTCGTGCTTGGGGATGGTTCTAGACGAATGCACAGAAAGTAGCCACATTCTCTGGTAGCAAAGGTGCTCGTCTGGTGTGAAGGGAAGATTCCCTCAGGTGTCTCCACCGTCTGCACCAATACGCTGCTCTGTGACAGCGCGGGACAAACCAGGGCAGCGCTGCCCTGAGCCCGACCGTGAGAACAGGAGGAGAGGGCAGCCAGCGGGCAGAGCAGCACAGGAGGGCGCGAGCGAGAGCCTCCGAGAGACGCGGAAGAATCGGTGTTTAGCGAGGGCGCAGCAGCAGCCTCAGGACTCCCAGGGCACGGTGTACTTCCTTCCCCTCGCCCAGCTCCCGGCACAGCCCAAGGGGCCGTGTGACTGGGGGGCCCATGGGCGCCCCACTTGCTTTGTGCTTTATTTTCATTCCACCTTCTGAGCTGTGGTTCCCACCATCTGTACAAAGGGCCCCTGCCCCTGCCCTCGTGGGCCTTTCTAAGGAGGAGACCACAGCCAGCACAGAGGCAAGCACGCGCTTGGGAAGAGCCAGCTCCTCCGCTGAGCCCCGGCGAGCAGCGAGGTGAACGTGGCAGCGGTCACAGCTCACGCAGCAGGCGCCGCCTGGTGTCACTGGGGGTGCCGGGGGCACAGGGGCCGGGGGGGCGAGGTGTGGGGCTGAGGCTGCAGGGGAGCGAGGGGCAGGGCCGGGGCCCGGGGCTCTGAGATGGGCAGTGGAGCACGAGCTGGTGTTGAGCCACGTCCCCCGCATTCTCAGGCGGCAGTGCCAGCCCCGGTACCAGGCTGTGATCGCGCCTGTGCTCACTGCAGGTGGACCTGCGCCACCATGAGGGACCAGGGCATCCTACAGGGTCACAGAGGAAGCAGCGTGTGGGGACGGGACAGGCTCGCTGTGAGGAGCAGGAACACAGTGACCACTGGCCTGCAGCACCCGGGTGACGCGAGAGGAGGGGGGATCCTCCCAGGGAGCCTGGCCCTGGGGCCTCAGACAGGGCCCTGGGGACGCATCTCTACTGTTTGGCTGTGGTGTATGCTCTGTCTGCCCTGGGCGGGCCCCTGGGGAGCAGGAGGGACCCTGGCTCCTGCCAGAACGTCTGGCCTATGTGGAGGGGAGTGACCCTCCATCGGGGGAAGCCTGTGAGGCCTGCAGCCGTGGCAGGCAGGGTCAAAGCCTTGCTGGAACTCGGGGCCAGGCCAGGATGGCGACTGCCCTGGAGCAGACACCAGCAGAAACCAGGCTGGTGCTGCGTCTCCACACACTGCCAAGGGCCACACCGACCCCACAAGTGCCAAGCAGAGGGGCTCCCCTCGTGCCTCCCCAGCCACACTGCCCACAGTGACTCCTCTCGTCCAACACCTCTGTCAGAGCAAGGCATGTCTGGAGTGAAAACAGGCCAGTGTAGGCACCCTTCTCCCACGCGACAGCTCGAGATGACGACTGGCTTTAAAATCTGAATTTCCATATAATTGGCTGCACTTTTTAAAAAATCCAACCATTTTTTCATCTCAATGCCAGGACCTATTAGATCCCATGGCGGGAAATGCACCGGGTTCCCATCTCCGTGAGAACCGGCCCAGGCGCGGCAAAGTCCCCAGAAGCACCTCCTGCAAACACGGCGGCCTTCAAGGACGCCGGGCACAGCTCAGTCTCGCATGATCGTTTGCAAAATCCACACCAAAACCAACAGGAGATCCCGCTACAAACAGAGAAGACGGCGTGGCACAGGCATCGGGGCAGGTTTGGGAAGGAGGAGGCGGGGCCTGGGAAAGGGACGCTCTGTAAGTCTGGGAGAAGACGCAGGGCAGGAAGGACAAGCCGGGCACCGCTGGGTTCACCACTCCCGCTGCCGCCCGAGGTGACAGAAGATTTACGGCCTTCCGCGTTGCTCCTGATTGCAGAGATTTTATTGCCATGAAATACAAGTCATCCACCTTCCTGCAGAGGAACGGAGGAAATAAATCTCACCCAGAGCAGGGAGGAGAGGGCAACCCAGAGTCTGAGGACAAAAGCGAACGCTTCCCCCTTCACTGCCAGCCCAGCGCAAAGTGGCTCCTCATCTAAACATCACAGGTAAAGCGGCTCGCAGGTGCGGAGTTTTCAGGAGGAAGCAGGGAGTGCAGGGCAAAGCAGGAACACGTACTGTCCAGAGGCAAGAACCCAGGGAGGGGCGAGTCCCCACCCCCACCCAAACCACGCAGCCTCCCAGCAGACTCGGGGGCTCGGGAGGGTGGTCAGGTCACAAGTCACAAACCTCAAGAGAGAGAGAGCCTCGGTGCTGAGTGCACTGAGAAGACAGGAGCAAGGTCTCTTGGTTTATTAGAACAAAAGGCTCAGTGCTTCCTGAATCAATGTAGGAAACGCAACAAAGAAGAAGGAGGGGGAAAATGCAACTTTTTGAGGCTACGGCACAATCAGTTCTGAGCACAGGGGCACATGTGACCGAGGAGAGATGCCGCCACTGTGGTGATTACTCAGGACGCACAGAAAGAGAAGAGGAGAAATTCCACAGGGCTGCGGCCAGGCACGGCGCGGCAGGCGAGCGCTATTCTCCCCATCACTCTGCTGTCTCTTGAGAAGGGAGCACGGAAACCGCATCAGGACAGTTTACTGTTGCTTGGGAACAATAAATTAACAGGATGGCTTGCTATTTTGCATCTCCTGCTAATAAAATACCTGGCCAGGGTCACAGGCAAGGTGACTGCAGTACACACAGTGCCAGCTCCAGAATCCTCAGTGCCGAGAAGCGCGTGGTGAGGGGACAGTGCCCCATCCCGCGCGCATGTCCGGACCCCAGGTTGTGCCTCCACCCAGTGCTGACTCTGTGTGACCCACTCGGGGATTCGCCAGCTCATGCTCATGCCTGGGACACGGGCCAGGGACAGCCAGGGTTCCCTCCTCCCAGGGAGCACACGTCTGTCTCAAAGGAACGGATGAGTCTTCTGTTTTGGAGAATCCGATCTAAGACCTAAGAGTCCCTAAGACTTAGGCGTCCAGCCACAAATTTCACAGAACCTGACTGCGCAAGGCACATTTAAACCAACTTTGGAAAGGCTCAAGACTGCCCATATCAAAGCAAAGGGCAACGGTGCCTGACGCTGCCCTTGGTCTGTCCCCGGGCAGGGAGGACTGGAGCTAGGAGGCCCCTTTCCTCGGCCACGTCCTCCTCCCTCCAGCTGCACCCAGATGGCAGAGAGGCTGTACCCACAGAAGTAGGGTGACGGGCCAGCCAGACCCAGGCCACAGAACACAAGATGCTCAGGAGCATCTGACTTCACAAAGACAAAGTGTATCTAGGTGCCGTATATGTGACATGTAACACACAAGCCACCATGAGTGAGGTCCATTCAATATTTAAGGCACGCGCTTACCCAAAAATTACTTGTTATATACCTGAAATTCAGGTTTATCCGGTTGCCCTGTACTTCACCGAACTCCTCCACCCTTGGTGCCAGCCCAGGGGACGGGACCGGTGACGGCTGGGGTGGTGGGGACGCTGGTGACCAGCTTCCGGGTCTCTTGCTCCGCCCCACCTCTCCCCTGCTCTTTTCCCGGAGCCTCCTAAGCCGCAACCCCGTCCTTTCCTCTAGAAATGAGCACCTCCCAGGTCCCTGCAGGGGCCCAGCCCGTGCCCACCTGGCAGCCTGCACGGAGGGGCCCCACACACCCTGCACGTGCACCGAGGTTTGCTTCCTTCCTGCATTTGCAGAGGTGGTTTCAGGCCTCCTCCCTAGCCCAGCTCAGGGCACTCACCTACTTCCCATGGTTCTCACAGTCACTCACCCTCCAGCCACTCCCTTCTTCCTGAATGAATAAAGTCTGGGTTCGGCCTTGGGTCGAGGCTCTTGTTCCTGGTAGCCATCATCATGGCTGGACTTAGGACCCCTTGGCTCCCCGTAGCTACAAATATGCCTAGGTGCCTTTGTTCTCATCACGGGTTGCACCGGAAGAGGTAGACTGGAATTAACTGGCTAGAATTCCAGTGACTTTTCATGGGATTATAAATACAAACTTCCTGGGCTGTGATGAGTCCTGGGAAGGGCTCTCCACACGCCCTGAACTGCAGAAACATGGAGGAAACATTGGCACAGTACGACGAGGGCGAGATTAACGAGGCCGTGACGCAGTCTGATTTCACTCGGTGTACAGGAAATTACTTTCTGAGGACATTTCATTTAACTTCGCAACACGGCACGTTTAATCTCTGATGCTGAGACATTTTCTTTTACCTGCTCCTCTCCTTAAAGCGTAAGGATGGGGGACACAGCTTTACCTCAGGTGGTGGGCGTGGGGGAGGCTCCGCCCCGCAGGGGAGAGGAACGGGCTCAGGGAAGGCACGGGAACAGGGCCGTGAAGACCCTCAGCATGACCTGGGGTGGTGGAGCAGTTACCTTCCAGAGCAAGGCACCGGGGTGGGCTGGATGACCAGATCAGGTTGTGCAAGCACTCGAGATACTCAGCCCCCTCGAGCTTGAACCCCGGGAAGCAGCGGTAGGCGATCACAGTCCCCACGGGGAAGGAGCTCTGAGACTCGGAGATGTTCACGTAGCCATTGGAGGAGGCCAGAGGCCTCAGGCAGCCTGGGAAGGTGGAGAGGGAGAGAAAGGTTTCACTCTCGTCTGTGTCCGTCCGAAGGTCACAGGACGCGCTCACTCAGCAGCTGCCCCACTGCAGACAGCACCGCCCCGGGGGCCGGCACCGCAGTCCCCGATGCGCAGACGCCACATTCCACTGACGATTCTATTTAAGGCAAAGGCACCAAGGGGTCAGACGCAGCGGCGGGGAGTGGGTGATGCAGATGGGTACACCCCAGCCAGGTGATGCACGGAGTGACTTTCAGTTCACACCGTGCCCGGGGCCTGGGGGAGTCTGGGGATCACTGTCCCTTAAGCCCCAAGTTGTCCTGGCCGTGCTAGGACTGAGAGCCTCTGAGGGCCCATGAGAAAGAGGACCCAGCATTGCCACGGCAGTGTCGGCCGCAAGAGGGCCTGCTGCCCAGTCATGGGCTGGCAGCGTGCTGAGCCAGCGCCGTCTGACGTCAGGGAATCAGCCGGGGTTGGCTAGACATCAGTGAGGAATCCTGCAGTGTAGTGGGTCTCGGGCATGGACGGGCTGCGGGCTTCCTGGGTGCACCTAGGGACCCTGTGGAGCCCGAGGACCACACTCTGTGGCCTTGGGGGCGGCCCTTGGAGGGAGAAGCAGGCACGGACTTGCCTGTGCTGTCGGTGGGGAGCTGGGCCACGCTCTTCCTCCATAAGCACTGTCCCCCTCAAACCTCAAGCCTGGGCAGCCCAGTACAATCCCCGAGGCTTGGACCTGCAGTGTGTGGTGTCCGAGGGGGTCTCACGGACTTCGGGTCATTTCACTGTAGGGGCCAGGACCCTGTGGAGCTGCAGCTCTTGCTGGGGGGGACTGACTGCCTATGAAACAAACAAGTGTGCCAAAACCACTTGCTTTCAGCCGGGCAAGGCAGTGCACAGCTGTTATCCCGGGCTCAAGAAGCTGAGCTGAGATGGTCACAAGTTCAAGCCCAGCTTGGACAACGGACTTAGTGAGACCCTGTCTCAAAATAAAAATTAAAAAGGACTGGGGATGTAGCTCAGTGCAAAAGTGCTGGGTCCATCCTCAGTATCACAGGAAACAAAGGAGAGAGAGTGAGACAGAGAGACAGAGAGGGAGAGAGAGAGACAACCTGCTCTTGCTTCCCAACTCCACAGACCGCAAGTCACACACGCACACAGTGGCAGACAACCTACCTTTCCTCAAGCCAACTCTGGTCATTACCCTGCATGTTTTGGGGACCAAACTGCCCACGGACACCCCAGGATAAGACACTGTGAGTGAGGGGGCATGCAGGGCCCGGGTGCTTGCTCTGCTCACGGCCCCTGCTCAGCAGCACCAGGCCCCCCACCAGACAGCCTGCACCTCAGAATGCTCTGCGTGAGCCGGATACCACGTGGCTCGCAGTGCAGCTGGGGCATGTGTGCGGGCCCAGGGGAGAGCTGGGAATCAGGGAAAAGCAGAATTGGCAACTGAGAAAAATGTGACCGAGCAGAGGCACCAGAACCCTTAGGCACAGCACTCATGGGCTGGCACAAGCTGTGTACCCGCCCTGCCTCCTGGCAGGAGCTGCAGGTCTGAGCTGCACACATGAGGAGCGGGCCTCCCACACACAGTCTCCCTCCCACCCGAGTGAGCAGAGGCAGTAGACACTGCTCCCACTGAGCAGCCTCGCCCCACCCCAGGGGCACAGCAAGGCCTATGATCCCTGCTGTTCGCCCTAGTCAGTGGTCAGTGTGGACACCGCCTGCCCTAAATGAGACAGGAAGACACTCTACGTGCTGGCTCAGTGGTTCCCATTTGCCTCTGGATAACAGAAAGAAGCCCTTTAGATGTTCGCCCCTCGACCTATAGGTGCAAATATAAGTCAAAGAACAAAACACCGCTCTAAGAGATAACGATGTTCCCCAAGGCACATGGAGAGGTGTCCAGCTGCTCACAGCGACTCCAGTTCCTCATTCCCAGCACCCTGCCCGGTGTGGACTGCATTCCACGATGTGCACTGAGGTGCAAGAGGACTGGGGGTCTCAGGAGCGGCCAGCCAGGAGCCAGGGGTGGGTCAGTGCAGAGTGCCCACCCCGTGTGTACTCACCAGCCGGCTGGGCCCTGGGGCCCATCACAGAAATGCAGAGAACTCCAGACCCAGCACAGCCACACCTGGACCGCATTTGGACAAGGGCTGGGCATGGAGCAGCCAGCCACGCAACGGGAGTGTGCACTATCAACGCAAGGAGCCCGAAGAGGGCAGCCACCAGGGGCACACGCAGACCACCAGGGAGAGGGGCTCCCCGGAAGCGCGCTGTGTTAAGTGACGCAGAGGGAAGAGGACGGGAGGAAGCAAAGGCTCCGGGAGACGGGAAGGCGAGCAGTGGCACAGACCTGGGGCACCCAGCGTGGCCCCTTGCAGCACTGCACGCAGGATGGTGCCCTCCACTCTGTCCAGCGCTGCAGCCTCATCGCCCCAGGGCCAGGCCTCTCCAGCTCCCGCGCATGGAAACAATTTATTTCCAGTGACGGAGCACACTGCAGCATCGGAGCCTGGCAGCCGTGATTCCTGAGCACAAAGGTAACCCGGGTGCCTGGCACCAAACAAGCTCACCCTCCCTCGCCCAGGTTACGGAGTGCACTGGCTCGCTGCTCCTGCGGGCCACGTCACGCATCAGAGAATGAAACTGGAATCAGTGTGGACACGAGGGCGATTTCAGAGCCCTCCACCGTCCAAACACGCGGATGAGGGATATTCACTTGTGGTTTGGATGAGTCTGAATGTGATTATTTTTCTGCTCTTCATGCGTTATAAAAAAGGACAACACTATTAATGGAAAAATAGCCTCTATCATGGGCTTTAACTATAATCGCACCACTGCTGAAGTAAGTAAATGCTCTCGCTACCAATGTTGTAAACACCCTGTGCTTCCCAGGAAACACAACACCTGGCGGTCACGTTCTCCACCGGTCTTGACCCTCCTGATTCATTAAGGACTTCTGACTTCCTAGGGTGGAGGGGCAGCCAGAGCGCCGGGGTGAGGTCTTCCCCAGGTCACTTCAGACCCCGGTGTGCAGAACTGGCCGTGACAGAAAGCTTGGGGCCGTGCAGTGGCAGCTCTGCAGCCCCTGGCAGCTCTGTCCCCGACGCAGCCACGCGCACACCGCCTACCCCGCAGCCCGTGGTACCTCGACAGAGCGGCAGGTTGTCCCACGTGCCGTCCTCGAGACACAGCGAAGTCCCGCTGTCCAGGTCGGGGTAGCGGATCTTGAATCCCTCGTGACAGGCGATGGTCAGTTTGTCTCCATGTCTGTATGTCTTGTTGTGGATCTCAGCATCTTCAATCTGAGGGATGCGGCAACCTGCAATTTTGGGAAAGGTCTGCATTACTCTTGGACTCTAAAGTCATCAACTGCTTCACAGGAAAACTCCTTCGGACCCGGTCTCAGCCTCCAGGGCAGCCCGGCACCTGTGAACCACTCCACGGGGTAAGGAGGGGCTCGGCAGCTGCGACTCTACACTGCACACATGATCTTAGGAAACGACACAGACGAGAGCTGGGGCCGCCTGCACTGGTGGTGCCTTCCGCGGCTGCATCTGGGGACAGGACATGGGGCGCGCCAATCCCACCCCCTCTGTGTGCTGCCTAAGCCCAGTGAGAAAGCAGTGTGCCCACGGCCTGGGTGTCTGTCCGAGCTGGCCACACACTGTGCCTGTACACTGCAGCCGTGTCAGAAAGACGGAAGAGCGGCCCCGCCCAGCCTGCCAGCCCCGCCAAGGCCCAGCAGGGGCAGCTGCACTTCTCCATGAAGGAGGGAGGAGGCCTGGAGCCTGCACAGCGAGGCCTGAGGAGAGCGGGAGACCAGCAGGCGGTGCTGTCCACTTCCGCCCGCTGCCCAAACCACACTGCTGCGCCCGCCCCAAACACTGCCCAGCTCAGCCCCTGAGCTGAAGCCGCCCGGCTCACATGTGTCTCTCCCCCTCTCTTACGGGCGCATCTAGAGTTAATGTTTCCGATTCTGTGCATTTTTTCCTTTTATTTGTAGTGCTGGAAATGGAACCCAAGGCCTCGAACACGTGAGGCACGTGCTCTGCACTGGGCTACAGCCCGCTCTGCCAGTGCTGCCTGGCCTCCATGCACGCGTGTCTGCTGGTGAGGGCGACGACGCATGGGTATGCTCTCAAGTCATGGGTTCCTCTCTTTCTAAACAAAGAAAAATCCAAGTACAACAACTGGTCAGTCGCAGAAACTTCTCGAGAAAGCACGCCCTGCTCCAGAGACTGCTGGCTTCTCGACCACTCCCGGGCCTGCCAGACCCGAGGTACAGTGGAACAGTGCTGATGGGAGCCTTGCGCTCCAGCAGCCCCGGGAGTGTGAATCATATCTTTCCAATGACACCATGCAGAGATTACCCACAGCTCTGGCCCTGGAACCTGCTGGGGCGACAGGAAAGAGCAGTGGTGGCCCAGAGGGCACCGGGAAGTGTGGCTCCTTCCATCAGGATCCCAGAAGCTGCAGGGGTGGGCGGGAGTCACAGGAGGATGGGCAGTCTGACAGATGGACCCAGGAGACAGAGGCCAGTGCAGGGGGAGGGGGAGAGGAAGGGGGAGGGGGAGGCTGGGCGGGGGGCTCCCACAATGGGAGGAAGGGGTGGTGCCAGCCCACTGCCCACTGTGGGCACCAGAAGGCTGTGTTCAGCTGGGCACCGTCACCCAGCCTCTGTCACTCATTAGCTGGCGAGCAGGGCCCATGCCACCCACTTGCTCTGCGCCCCTCCCCTCTGCACACCTGCGAGCACGCTGGCCATGAGGAGCGGGGAGGGTGTGGCCTGACCTCGGCCTCCAGAGCTGGCATGGCCGCGTCGCTTGGCGCTGAGAACCTGGCGTCCGCCTCCCCAAGCCCAGGGGCTCACTGGGTAGTCCCGGCTGGGCGCTGTGTTTGGTTTCAGTTTTATCTCTCACAGTGCATTTCAGGAGCTGACAGTGCTCCTGCAGGAGGGGCTGGGTCCCCTATGCTGACCCCACGACAGTCCCGTGGAGTTGCAGCCCAATGGACAGCTGTGCGCACACCACCTCCCTCTCCACCACCAACATCCTCCTAATGCAAAGAGTGAATCATGTCTTTCCAACGGCACCATGCGGAGATTATTCACAGCAAAGAAAAGCACATTTATCCAGGCGTCTGTCTGTACAGTCGTGGCTGTAAATAGACCCCGCGGCAGTAATTTATATGTCTAAGCAATCATTTTCAGGATGGACGTATAATCTGCTCCAGAATTAGTTAGCTGGCGTACTCAGGAGGCGGCCGGTTGTAAAGGTGCTGAGATGTCACAGACTCGTGCACGCTGGTGGCCGGGAGCACAGGGACTCCAGCCAGCCACCAGGTGGTTCACAGAGTGCACCAGGCTTCGGGGGGAACTCCGGCTTCCCAGGCAGCCCGGGCCTACTGCAGAGCGGACGACCAAGGTTGGAAGGGAATCCCAGGCTGTCACACGGTTGCCCACAGAGGAGTGGCCATGGGAGGGGGACAGGGCCACCTTTCACTGCAGGACTGCGTGCCCCAGCGAGCAAGGTGGAGAAGCAAGAGGGCTGATCCTGGTGAGAACAAAGCCAACAAAGACCAGCTCTGAAAAAAGACCTGAACCTGGACAGGGCAGAAGCTCATCCATAGCCGCTCCAGGTTTTCTACGCACAATGTCTGGCACCAACCCCCCACGGGTGGAGGGGAAGGCTGGAAGAAGAGGTGCCCGGTAGAGGCATGTGTCCCGGCGGGTGGTCTGTGACCCTACACCACTGTGGACCATGTTTCTGTGGAATGAAAGAATCCAGAGCCTTTAGTAGTGGAAGTAAATGTGTGATCTTCATCAATGCCAGAGTTTCAAACAGAAATACAGGTGCTCCTTGATTTACAACCAGGCCACATCCGGACAGACCCATGGCAGTCAAAGACAGTGGGAGTGGGAACCCTTTAACACCCCAAGTGTATGCCTGCCTAGGCGTACAATTACAACTTAGACCTGGGTGAGGTGGGGCAAGCCAGTAATCCTCCTACTCTGAGAGGCTAAAGCAGGAGGATGGAAAGTTCAAGAGCAGCCTGGGTGCCTTGGAGACTTAGCAAGACATCAAGAATAAAAAAATAAAAACGAAGGCTGGGGACACAGCTTGGTGCCACAGGCCCTGGGTTTAATCCCCAGTACTGAAAATCAGTGAATTCATTAGAACTCTGCTGTGGGAGCTGCTCCAGGTTAAGGGAGTTGTCTTTCCTGCCCCCACCCCATTTCCGGACATCCCGCTCCTGGGAACAATGGGGTTCAGTATAGTGAATCCACGAAGAGGGAGTGAGAGGTCCTTGGGCTGAACTGGACATTTGTACCTGTGTACAAATTAACTTCCCTACTGCTGATGCGAGAGCACGATCCTAAGGGACAGAGTAAAGGACATTTCCAAGACCTCGGGCCACACATCAGATTTACTTTTAACATCTCAGTTACATGTGAAAATAAATTTGATTTCTTAAAAATGCTCCTTCCACACCAGTGCACCCCCAAGCTGTCCCTGGGGAGCGCGAACAGACCCCAGGTGCCCAGTGGAGATTTGCAATCCACATTAGCGAGGCAAAGGCCCTGAGGCCATGCTGTAAAGAACTCTTCGAGTTGTTCAAGCCAGCATCCTGGACCCCTGTTAATTCGTCCATCCCCTCCTTGACCCTTGAGTGAGCTACCAAGCACCTAAGCAGGGCAGGAGGTCCTAGGGGACAGAGAAGCCAAGAACGTCATGCACAGCGTCACGCACGGTGCCTGCACACAGGGAGGGAAACGGCCAGCAGGAAATGAGCTGGAACATGACGCTCAGTACCCTGTGAACACACAGCAGGAGACAGGACTGGCACTGATCGGGGACTCATTTAGTTTGGGCCGACAGGAAAGGGGCCTCCGGGGAAATGATGTTTATTCAGCTGAGATCTGAGTGACAAGGATTCGGTTACTTTCGCATCCTGGAGCAGTCACACAAGCTCAGGAAAGAGGATGGCATCAGCACAGCGCACACACAGGGAGGGCTGTGTTTGGAGCACGGACACCCAGGGCGGGAGGGAAACCAGACTCAGGGGCCGTGGGTCACAGCAGGGCGGTAGGCTCTGCATCGCTGTGACGTGTATGGCATGACCTGGCCTGGATTCCCCAAGTCTGACACGCGTGCAGTGAGGCATTGGCCCTGGCCCCATCCAGAGAGAAGTGAGTCCGTCAACCCCACTCCACAAGGCCCCAGGACGTTGCCTGGGCCTAGCACCTCTGTCCCTGGTGGCACTGGGACGTCCTGCACAGTTGGCACCCACAACGTGGTTAAGGCTGTGGACCCTGGGCCACGCGGCATCAGCTCAGCTTTTGGGGGACTGGAGCCCGAGGCCAGCCATGCTGTGGACCTCATGACTCTTGAGTGAGTTTCCTGGGTCACTAACGTTCCACGTTTGTCGTCGCCCACAGAGGTATAGAGAGACTCTCTGTCCACAGCTCCACCACCCGCTGGGGACACAGGGACCCTGCCTGGGGCCACTCGACTCCCGTGGCTGGTTCAGCTGTCTTTGCACTGAAAGAAACCTTAGCCAAGAGCAAGAAGGCTTTGATGAGCTGTGTGAGTCCTTCCGCTGAGCTGCTGGAACTTGGGGACTTAAGACTTGAAGCTGGGTCAGAACAGGGGTCTGGGGACCCTGAACTTCAGCACGGGGTCCTTTCTGCACTCGGCACCTGCTGACCTCCCCCAGGCTCACTCCTCGCAGCCTGTGCTGTCGCTTCCTCTCTGTGAGGAACGGCCACCGTCCCCACAGAGCCCAGAGGACAGCGCACTGACCACCGTGCACCAAGCAGGCCACACACGCTGAGCAGAGCCACCCCAGCTGCCAACACAGGCAGAGCGGAGGAGAGCGGGTGCTGCTCGGAAAGTGGGAGCGGCTGGGTGCCCCGTGGGGATGCGGGCCCACGGAGGGCGGCTCCCCCCAGGCATGGTGGGGCACCCTTCTCTTTTGTCCTTAAGGGCACTGATTGTCAGGAAGCCTGAGGCAGCATCGAAGCATCTACACCGTGCATCTTGGCTGCACTTTAACATGGAATTATTGCTACATCCCAGCGTAAACCAGTGAGAAAACACCATGTCAGAGACAGCTGTCAAAGCAAAGGTACTAACTAAGCTTCCGAGACTTAGGGTCCTTCTCTTGTCTGACCTAGAGATGGGTGATTTTTTAATTTGTGGTTGGCAAGGACAATTCGCATCTTTGTGTTTTGTTACTGAACACTTGGGTAGTAATTCTTGGTGGGTTCTCAGCATCCTCTGTATAGGACAGAGACTCCTACATCCTTCTAGGCATAGG